CCCCAACGCGTCATATCTGCCGATAGGTTATACAGATTCGGATTGGGCAGGACCGTTGAACGGCGAACGCAAATCTACTTCAGGCTTCATATTCAAGTTAGCAGGTGCACCAATTTCATGGCGTTCGTCCAAACAACCTTGTGTTTCTTTAAGTTCAAATGAGGCAGAATACGTGGCACTTAGCGAAGCAGTACGCGAAGCAACGTGGTTGCGCAATATGATGATGGAACTAGGATTCGTTACAGCAAAGGACCCCTTGCCTATCAGGGCAGATAACAAAGGTTCAATCGACCTAGCTACCGTTGCCGCGATCACGGCACGCAGCAAGCATATCGACACTCGCTTCCACTATTCTCGCACGCAATTGAACGAAGGCGTTATTTCTATTAAACACGTTCCCACTGAGGATATGGTAGCAGACGGATTAACCAAACCTCTGGGCACAGTGGCATTTAGGCGTTTCATTGATTTACTAGGACTTTTCGCTGGTAACAGTGAGAATGATTAAATTTCTGTATGTAGCATGATTTTGGGATGATCCAAGTTGAGATAGCTAGCATGGAAGATTCGTAGGAACACATCACGCACGTTGGCGCGTGGGGGGGTGTTGGGCACTAGTTGCCCAGGCGGCCCTCCACCGCACGTGATTACCCCTATATATAGTTAGCTAGCGATCGCACAATGAGAAGATCAACCATCCCACACTTATCTCAGTAAACTCAGCCACTCCACTCCGAGCTAACCCAATCCGAACTACTGCTACTTTCTGCCAAGTCCTGCTAACATCTGAGCCAATCAACTGTCACGGGGCTTACACTAAACCTAAATGGGACATCCCCAGCAAACTCTTCGCGGAGCGTCTGAGAAAAAACGGTTCCTGTTTGTTAGCAACACGGGAACGATTTGCTCCAACCATAATGTTTGAGATAGAATCACTGTGCAACATCACTCATAGATCATTTCTCTACCACCTTGGAGGGTTAATTTTTCAATTTCCTGTCGATTGATGTAATTTTTATCTGAAAATACATATATTCTGAGTATGAAGTGTCGCGTCGAAAACTGCTACTATGATTTTGAACACGGGAACGATTTGCTAATTTTTCAACCATGATCATGTCTAGTCATCCAACGCCTTGATCTTGCCATCAAAACATCTATCCAGCCATCAGAGACTCTAGTCAAAGCACCGAGTGTATTTTCCAGCGACTTCCGGCAACTTCTGGCAACTTCTGACAACTTCTGAACTCTTGGCAACCTCACGCGGCACATCAACTTCTGACAACATCTCTGAACTCCTGACAACTTCTGGGATCTTCCGACAACTTCTGAACCAATCACATAACACTTCTTTTTGACAGCTGGGTCGGACAACGTCCCATCAACTGCATCAAATATGGCCAAGGGGGATCGAAGAAAACGCGCAAGTCAGCTACAACAGCGGCTTCAAAAGCCATCATTAAAGCAAATACTTTCAATGAACATTGAAGATATGCCACAACTTGTCATGAGCTATGCCGGACCAGATAGTATCGACAAGCAACAGGATGTTATTCAGTATTGTCTTCAACGAATACTTCAAGGCCCGCGTCCAGATCCTGAGTGTACTCTTCAGCCACGCATAGAACAAGTCCGTATACTTCGGCGCATGATATATGGATATAGCGACACTTTATTCATTGCCAGAACTGGCTATGGAAAGAGCCTTATTCTTCAATCCTATACAATTCTGACAGGAAAGATAACCATTCAACTGGTTCCTCTAAACAAGCTTGGTGATCAGCAAACAAGAGATATAGCACGGTTTCCCGGTGCCAATCCTTGTCTGGTCAGTGCTGATAATCTCCAGGGGCAAGAAGACTTACTCAAACGCATTCAACAAGGTGACTATACACATATACTGCTCAGTCCAGAGCAAGCTCTTTGCAAGCGATTTCAGCATGTTCTTCAAGACCCTACTTTACAAGAAAAGATTGGGCTTGTAGCTATCGATGAGTGTCATCTTGTCACACAGTGGAGTCAATTCCGTAGTCAGTTTGCCAGGCTGGGGCACCTGAGATTGCTTCTTCGTGAGGATATTGTCTGGTTTGGCTGTTCCGCAACCCTCAGCAGTAAAGCTGAAGATATCATTCTTCAAGAGGCTGGATTTCGTTCTATTGGTGTAAACCCACGGCAGACTCAGGTTATTCGAACTTCCATTAACCGTCCTGATATCTTTATCGGCGTACATCCGATTCCACGCGGTAAACTTGTATCCTATGATATGTTATATTTTTTATTGAACGAGGCCATTGATACAGATGGAAAGATCATACCTCAACACATTTTAAAGACCATTGTCTTTATTGACAGTCATGTCAAGGTTCAACAAGCAGTGCAATATTTCCGATCAATACTTCTTCAGATCTGTCAGAATAACAGGCAGAATGTCAACAATACTGACACCTCTTTCATCAATGAAAGACATTCAGCATTTCACATCTCGAGTGTCTGAAGTGGATCAGAATATTCGCTTCGAGGAGTTCATGAAACCTAAGTCAATGGTATCCAGATCAGAATCGTGATTGAATTTTGCAAAGAAGGGAGTATTGATAAGGCATTTCAGCTCCTGTTTAAGCAAGACAGTATAACGTTGATTATCATTGAATACCCCCTGCTTTGGAAAGTGCTGAATATAGTGCATTTTCGCCGCTTCGTAGGAGTACTGTATTCGTCGATGAGTCCAAGATATCGGGACTCTGAATCCAAGCCTCTATAAAGGCCTCCATTCCCCAACTGTTTCGCTGTAATGTTCTGACAACGCGAGATAATTTTTGACCGTCTTTTTCTCCGGTTTATAAGGCAATTGTAGGCAGGTGCTGGTGGGGCCACGGCGGTTTGATCCGTGTATCATATCTCGTGGGGGGAATCGGTATCCAGTATCGGGTGATCTCCAAATTTCCCAAAGGGAGTATTACTAT